GCAAGAAAGCCCCCGCGCGGGCCAGCGGCGGGAGGGCTGGCCCCAGCCCGGGACACACAGCGGCCGTGCCGCCCCGCCCCTCCTCCGCGTGCTGCGGAGCGCAGACGCACAGGCACCCGGAGGGCCGGGCCCACTTCCGCGGGAACGTGCGTTGCGTAGACCACCAGTGTGGAGTGCTGACACAGCTCAAAGGCAGGAGCCCCAGCCGACACATGCCTGTGAGGACCCCGCCGCGTGACCACACGCATGTGTGAGGGCCCGCCGCGTGACCCAGCTCCCGCCCGACCACACGCGTGTGTGAGGGCCCCGCTGTGTGTGACCCAGCTCCCGCCTGCCCACACACGTGTGCGAGGGCCCCACTGCGTGTGACCCAGCTCCCGCCTGCCCACATGCGCGTGCGAGGACCCGCCGCGTGACCCAGCTCCCGCCTGCCCACATGCGCGTGCGAGGGCCCGGCGCGTGACCCAGCTCCCGCCCAACCACACACGTGTGCGAGGGCCCTGCTGCGGGTGACCCAGCTCCTGCCTGCCCACATGCGCGTGCGAGGGCCCGCCGTGTGACCCAGCTCCCGCCTGCCCACACACGTGTGCGAGGGCCCGCCGCGTGTGACCCAGCTCCCGCCCAACCACACATGTGTGTGAGGGCCCGCTGCGTGTGACCCAGCTCCTGCCTGCCCACGTGCATGTGTGAGGGCCCCGCTGCGTGTGACCCAGCTCCTGCCCGGCCACACGCGTGTGCGAGGGCCCCGCTGCGTGTGACCCAGCTCCCGCCCGGCCACACGCGTGTGCGAGGGCCCCGCTGCGTGTGACCCAGATCCTGCCCGACCACATGCGTGTGCGAGGGCCCGCCACGTGTGACCCCAGCTCCCGCCTGCCCACATGCGTGTGTGAGGGCCTGCCGCGTGACCCAGCTCCCGCCTGCCCACATGCGCGTGCGAGGGCCCCACTGCGTGTGACCCAGCTCCTGCCTGCCCACACACGTGTGCGAGGGCCCCACTGCGTGTGACCCAGCTCCCGCCTGCTCACACGCGTGTGCAAGGGCCCCGCCGCGTGTGACACAGCTCCTGCTTGCCCACATGCGTGTGCGAGGGCCCGCTGTGTGTGACCCCAGCTCCCGCCTGCTCACACGCGTGTGCAAGGGCCCCGCCGCGTGTGACACAGCTCTTGCTTGCCCACATGTGTGTGCGAGGGCCCGCTGTGTGTGACCCCAGCTCCCGCCTGACCACACAATTGTGCGAGGGCCCTGCTGCGTGTGACCCAGCTCCCGCCCAACCACATGCGCGTGTGAGGGCCTGCCGCGTGTGACCCAGCTCCTGCTAGTCTGGCTGGCATGTGGGATGAGAAGAGGACAAAGCCATGGAGTACGCGCAGCAGCCCCTGCCGGCCGGGAGGCCCGCGGCTCAGGCTCGGTCTGCTGGGGACCCGAGGCCTGGCCCAGGTCCCGAGAGCTGGGGAGTGCAGCGTAGCCGCTCGGCCGGCCCCACCTCCACCTCCCTGGCACGGCCCCGCTGAGTGTCCTGCACACAAGCCGGCGTGGGAAGCCACCGGCGGCGGACAGCACAGGGGACTCAGTGTCCGCTCCTGCGGACCCAACTCCTCAGAGGAGTGGGCAGCCCTCCCGGGGGCCGGGCCGGCCCTAGATGCAGCGCCACGTGGGGCAGTGGAGGGACCATGGGCCGAGTTGGGGTGCAGCCCCCTAACTGGATCCCTTGGTCCCATGGAACGTGGTCCCGGGCCTGGCCTCTGTGCCAGTGACGCCACCGGCCCGGCCCTTCCTAGGCTCCAGAGCTGGCGGTGCCCACCCGCGTGCCCGGCACGGGCCGGCCCGGCCCTTCCTAGGCTCCAGAGCTGGCGGTGCCCACCCGCGTGCCCGGCACGGGCCGGCCCGGGCCGGCCACAGGTGGCTTCTGTCCACTGCGCCGTGTGTACGTTAACTGCAGATATTTTTAACATATTGTGTTACTCCATCCATCTTCGTGAACAGTCTGTCTTGTAAATTTTTTGGAATTATGTTATTTTTTCTTGCTTATCTTCATCATCTATGGTTATTTATAATATTGTCTTTGTTTCAAATGCTGGGTATAAACATCGGTTACGATGGGGTTCATGTAATTTTTACAATTGCTTTGAAATGCCCCGATGGTCAAAGGGGGGGAAGGTTTGCTGCTTGGGGGAGCGTGCTGCAGCCCGGCTCCTGCTGCTCCCCGGGCCCCGGGGGGGAGGCCCAGCGGGCGCAGGCTGCCCCAGGGGGTGGGGGAGGCCCAGCGGGCGCAGGCTGCCCCAGGGGGTGGGGGAGGCCCAGCGGGTGCAGGCTGCTGGAGGGGGGGAGGCCCAGCGGGCGCAGGCTGCCCTAGGAGGGGAGGGGGGGAGGCCTGGCGGGCGCAGGCTGCCCCAGGGGGTGGGGGAGGCCCAGCAGGCACAGGCTGCCCCAGGGGGTGGGGGAGGCCCAGCGGGCGCAGGCTGCCCTAGGAGGGGAGGGGGGGAGGCCTGGCGGGCGCAGGCTGCCCGGGGGGGAGGCTTGGTGGGCGCAGGCTGCCCGGGGGGGGGGGGAGAAGGCCTGGCGGGTGCAGGCTGCTGGGGGGGAGGCCCGGCGGGTGCAGGCTGCTGGGGGGGAGGCCCGGTGGGTGCAGGTTGCCCCAGGGCGGGGGGGGGGGAGGCCCGGCGGGCGCAGGTCGCCCCAGGGCGGGGGGGGGGGGAGGCCCGGCGGGCGCAGGCTGCTGGGGGGGGAGGCCCGGCGGGCGCAGGTCGCCCCAGGGCGGGGGGGGGGGGGAGCGGCTGAGGCTGGGCTCAGGTTTCAGAGCAGTCGTCCACAGACGTCAGGCGAGGCCCACAAAGGGCAATGTTGGGGTAAGATGCCGGGAGAAAGACGGATGGCTTGTTTTCATTTTTATGGGGGTTTTCTGCAACCTCAACTCTCACCCCTCATCCCTACTCAACTCCCAGCCCGCCGTCGGCCAGCCCTTCTGTGGGAGCCGCCAGCTGCAGGCACTGGCCGGGCCAGGGCGGGCCCGGTGCAGGGGCCGAGGAGCCCACTGCCCGCCTGCTCTTGGCTCGGGGCCTCCGCGGAGGCTGGCTGGAGGGCATGCCGGGAAGCCAGGACTTTGGAAAGGCCGGCACTCGAATGCGTCTCCTCCACACGGCACGGCCATGGAGCTCCAGCGTGCAGCTGCCAGGCCCTGACCGCCAACATCACCACCATCTACCACCACGCCACTGCCCGGCCTTCTCTGCGGCTCGCCCTCTGAGGGAGGAGGCCGAGGGTGGCGGCAGGCCCCGGGGTGCCATGTGCACCCCCGCCCCGGGCACCAGAGGCCCTGGCTGTCCCCCAGGCCCAGCCTCCCCGGAGGGGCTCAGGTGGTGACATGAGACTTGCGAGCAGAGACGCGAGTATCGAGGGCAGCCGAGAGCACGGGGTGGCTGTGCCCAGTGCCCGTGCGGGCTCGCGTGCCACGCTTACACGACCCATTTCTACCAGCCAGCCCCCAGAAGGCGCCCAGCCCAGGCAGGAGCCCAGGCAGGAGGCTCCGGATGTCAGGACTCGCTTCTGAGTCTCTAAAGAAATGTGGATGTGGCCTAGTGGCTGACCTTACTAGCTACCTAAGAGATGAGAGTAAAATCCCTGAGCCACCATTTGCCAGATATCCAATTAGGAGATGCAACAGCTCAGGGCCAGGCTGCACCGGGCGGGCGGAAAACAGCCCTGCAGGGCTGAGGATACACGGATACACGCTGAAGGGTGCTTTTGGGATCACTGCCAGAAACTCTTAGGTTGTAAGCGTGAAAGTTCCAGCAATCCAACTTGAGAACCCTTCTTAAGAAATACCCTACAGATTCACGCAGTCACGGCGGACACTCCAGCCACACTGCCTGCCGCTGAGATGCTGGAAACAGCACTGCACCTGCCCAGGAGGAGGGCGTAATGACTAAGGCCGCCGCCGCCGCTGGCTGCCCCTCCCCCGTGCTGGGCCCCATGAAACCCCAGGGCCCCTGAGCTGCACACAGGACCGCCAGGGGTTTAGTGGGACACCCAGTCAGGAGCAGTGGTGCTGGTGGGCGGGGCGGGGAGGGGTAAGGGCCTGGGGAGTGCGGCGTCTGGAAGGTGCCGGGTGGGTGCCAGCCCCCCCCCCCCCCGAGGCTTTGCCAGGAGCCCCAGACCAGCACCACCTTTCTCACACATGCCGCACATCCCCTGGTGTCTGGCTCTGCCATTCCAGCCCAGTCTAAGCCACGGAAAAGACAACAAGGAATCTGCAGAGCCGGGGTGGGTGGTGGATTCCTTGTGGGATTCTGCACAGTGTCGTGTCCAACACGACACTGAGGAAACCAAGGTTGGAGGCAGGGTGGGCTGCTCTGAACGCCCCCCTTCCACACCAGCGGAGCCACGGTGGCCCCCGCCCCCTCCCCAGCGCGCACCGGCCCCTGGACAGATGCCGCCGCCGCCTCAGGCCCTGCGCCCTGCCCTGCCGTGTGCCAGCCTCTCTGCACACCCTACTAGAACCCGCACACCCACAAGCCCAGCCCCCTGCCAGCCCACGCGGGACCTTCAGCTGTGAGCGTGCCCCTCCCGTGACCCGGCTCCCAGCAGGAGCCTGGTACGCATTGCCCTCAGTGAAACGCAGGCTGAGCAAATAAATGGACACGTAGCCTCAGGAGTGGCCAGGAGCCTGGAAACCCAGGGGCTCCATTTCTGGAGGCATACGCATTTCAGCATCCGGCAGGCTGGCGGGAGCCTGATTCCTCCACCTCTGCCGGGCAGGGGGGCGGCAGCTCCCGGCGTCCAGTGGGGTGCCCGCCTGGCACTGCCCCCCACCCCGCCCTCCCCAGTCCTCAAAGACCAGATCCACCTCCACTCCCCAGGAAGCCGAGGAAATGTGGGAACAGGAGTGCCAACTAACGCCAGCTCTATGCCCAGGCTCCGCCTAGCTTACCTACACCAGCCTCTCAGCTGCGGGCATGGCACCCGGGGCCCGCAGCATGGGCAGGATCGGGGACGGCACTCACCAGGGATGTGGATCTTGAACTTGCCACTCTGGCCAAAGGCGCTGTGGATGAGGCCTCGCTCGCCAGTGGACAGGGTCACCTCGAGCCCCACGAACAGCTGGATGTTGGTCTCCTTCTTGAAAAGGGAGCGGCCGATCACGTTGTAGTCATCCATTACCTGCCACAAAGAGAAGGCGTTAGCGCACGCAGGAAGCACCGCGCCAGACACAGCGCTGCGTGGAGCAGGGCAGCGGCTGGGCCTCCACACGCACACCGAGAGTGGGTCGCACCGACCCACGGCTCTGCGGGCACATCGGCCCCGTGAGCTGGCTTCGGGGCTGGGAGGGGGCACACCGGTGCAGTCACGGCCACCTCGCTCGCTGTGGGCACGGCCTTGATGCCTGTCCGAAGGCCCGGGGCCCTCCAGGGCTGGCGGGGGCCCTGCCTCTGGTCTCCTTTCTGGACTAGCTGTGCCTCCACTCGGCCACACGCACCTGTGTGCAGTGTGGCCCGAAGCTCTGCGGGGAACCCGGGTGAGCCAGATGCCATCCTCTGCAGCCAGATGCTTCCGCAGTGCCTCTCCGCCCAGCCCCAGCCTTGGTGGCTCCTGGACCCGGGCTGTGAGCCACGTGTCTGAGAACGCGCCACCAGCCACAGCCAGTTCCACCTGGCGTGTCCGCTGCTGGCGGCCCCGCCGGCCCCGGCACCCCTCGCTGCTCTCTGACGCAGGAAGGCCGGCCCTCCCAGCCTCTGGCACCTCCACGCCCTGCGGCCCCTGCTCAGGTCCCAGCTGTGCTGCAGCAACTAGGGCTGCAGAGCACAGGGAGTGTCCAGCCGGCCGCACAGAGGGCCCCGAGGGAGCGGGTGGACCCTCCGGACCCTTCACAGCATCGCCAGTAGAAGCCGTCACCTGCCACTCAGAGTTCCCGAAGGGTAGGACCCCAGGTCAAGCCTTGGGTCCCGCCTCCTGGGCACCAGGCTGACTGCTGCTGGGCCAGGCCGGGTGGCTGGTGACAGTCCCGGAGGAAGTCACAGACCCAGGCCCACGCTGCCCTACTGCACTCCAGGGAGCCAACTTTGGAGCAAGCCCATGCGAGCTGACCAGGAAGAAGCACACGTGACGAGGCCTCTAGGCGGACTCAGCCCTGAGCCGCCTTCCTCCAGGGGGGGCCGCAGAACCGCCACAACAGACCGGCCCAGCCAGGCTTGCAGCCCTGGGACGGTCAGCTCGGCTGGCGACAGCTGAGCACCGGAGAGGGGTATGGCAGCTTTGCCTGGGCACCAGCAGGAAGCCAGCGGTGCGGAGGCGAGCGGGTGCACCATGAGACAGAGCACGGGGGGCGTGGGGTGTGGGGATGGAGCGGGTGCACCGTCAGACAGAGCACGGGGGGCGTGGGGTGTGGAGATGGAGCGGGTGCACCGTCAGACAGAGCACGGGGGGCGTGGGGTGTGGAGATGGAGCGGGTGCACCGTCAGACAGAGCACGGGGGGCGTGGGGTGTGGAGATGGAGCGGGTGCACCGTCAGACAGAGCACGGGGGGCGTGGGGTGTGGAGATGGAGCGGGTGCACCGTCAGACAGAGCACGGGGGGCGTGGGGTGTGGAGATGGAGCGGGTGCACCGTCAGACAGAGCACGGGGGGCGTGGGGTGTGGGGATGGAGCGGGTGCACCGTCAGACAGAGCACGGGGGGCGTGGGGTGTGGGGATGGAGCGGGTGCACCGTCAGACAGAGCACGGGGGGCGTGGGGTGCGGAGGCGAGCGGGTGCACCGTCAGACAGAGCACGGGGGGCGTGGGGTGTGGGGACAGAGCGGGTGCACCGTCAGACAGAGCACGGGGGGCGTGGGGTGTGGGGACAGAGCGGGTGCACCGTCAGACAGAGCACGGGGGGCGTGGGGTGTGGGGACGGAGCAGGTGCACCGTCAGACAGAGCACGGGGGGCGTGGGGTGTGGAGATGGAGCGGGTGCACCGTCAGACAGAGCACGGGGGGCGTGGGGTGTGGAGATGGAGCGGGTGCACCATGAGACAGAGCACGGGGGGCGTGGGGTGTGGGGACGGAGCAGGTGCACCGTCAGACAGAGCACGGGGGGCGTGGGGTGTGGGGACGGAGCGGGCGCACCGTCAGACAGAGCACGGGGGGCGTGGGGTGTGGGGACGGAGCGGGCGCACCGTCAGACAGAGCACGGGGGGCGTGGGGTGTGGGGACGGAGCGGGCGCACCGTCAGACAGAGCACGGGGGGCGTGGGGTGTGGGGATGGAGCGGGTGCACCGTCAGACAGAGCACGGGGGGCGTGGGGTGTGGAGACGGAGCGGGTGCACCGTCAGACACAGCACGGGGGGCGTGGGGTGCGGAGGCGAGCGGGTGCACCGTCAGACAGAGCACGGGGGGCGTGGGGTGTGGAGATGGAGCGGGTGCACCGTCAGACAGAGCACGGGGGGCGTGGGGTGTGGGGATGGAGCGGGTGCACCATGAGACAGAGCACGGGGGGCGTGGGGTGCAGGGAGATGGAGCGGGTGCACCATGAGACAGAGCACGGGGGGCGTGGGGTGTGGGGATGGAGCGGGTGCACCGTCAGACAGAGCACGGGGGGCGTGGGGTGCAGGGAGATGGAGCGGGTGCACCGTCAGACAGAGCATGGGGGGCGTGGGGTGTGGGGATGGAGCGGGTGCACCGTCAGACAGAGCACGGGGGGCGTGGGGTGTGGGGATGGAGCGGGCGCACCGTCAGACAGAGCACGGGGGCGTGGGGTGCAGGGAGACGGAGCGGGTGCACCGTCAGACAGAGCACGGGGGGCGTGGGGTGTGGAGACGGAGCGGGTGCACCGTCAGACAGAGCACGGGGGGCGTGGGGTGTGGAGATGGAGCGGGTGCACTGTCAGACAGAGCACGGGGGGCGTGGGGTGTGGGGATGGAGCGGGCGCACCGTCAGACAGAGCACGGGGGGCGTGGGGTGCAGGGAGATGGAGCGGGTGCACCGTCAGACAGAGCACGGGGGGCGTGGGGTGCAGGGAGACGGAGCGGGTGCACCGTCAGACAGAGCACGGGGGGCGTGGGGTGTGGAGACGGAGCGGGTGCACCGTCAGACAGAGCACGGGGGGCGTGGGGTGTGGGGATGGAGCGGGCGCACCGTCAGACAGAGCACGGGGGGCGTGGGGTGTGGGGATGGAGCGGGTGCACCGTCAGACAGAGCACGGGGGGCGTGGGGTGCAGGGAGATGGAGCGGGTGCACCGTCAGACAGAGCACGGGGGGCGTGGGGTGTGGGGATGGAGCGGGTGCACCGTCAGACAGAGCACGGGGGGCGTGGGGTGTGGGGACGGAGCGGGCGCACCGTCAGACAGAGCACGGGGGGCGTGGGGTGTGGGGACGGAGCGGGCGCACCGTCAGACAGAGCACGGGGGGCGTGGGGTGTGGAGATGGAGCGGGCGCACCGTCAGACAGAGCACGGGGGGCGTGGGGTGTGGGGATGGAGCGGGTGCACCATCAGACAGAGCACGGGGGGCGTGGGGTGTGGGGATGGAGCGGGTGCACCGTCAGACAGAGCACGGGGGGCGTGGGGTGTGGAGATGGAGCGGGCGCACCGTCAGACAGAGCACGGGGGGCGTGGGGTGTGGGGACGGAGCGGGCGCACCGTCAGACAGAGCACGGGGGGCGTGGGGTGTGGGGACGGAGCGGGTGCACCATGAGACAGAGCACGGGGGGCGTGGGGTGTGGGGATGGAGCGGGCGCACCGTCAGACAGAGCACGGGGGGCGTGGGGTGTGGGGACGGAGCGGGCGCACCGTCAGACAGAGCACGGGGGGCGTGGGGTGTGGGGACGGAGCGGGTGCACCATGAGACAGAGCACGGGGGGCGTGGGGTGCACGGGACACGGGGGGCACGGGAGACGGGGGGCACGGGACACGGGACACGGGGGCACGGGACACGGGGGTACGGGGCACGGGACACGGGGGCACGGGAGACGGGGGACACGGGACATGGGGGGCACGGGACACGGGGGCACGGGACACAGGGCACGGGACACGGGGGGCACGGGACACGGGGGGCACGGGACACGGGGCACGGGACACGGGGGGCACGGGACACGGGGGGAACGGGACATGGGGGGCATGGGACACGGGGCACGGGGGGCACGGGACACGGGGGGCACGGGACACGGGGCACGGGACACGGGGGGCACGGGACACGGGGGCACGGGACACGGGGCACACGGGGGGCACGGGACACGGGGGGCACGGGACACAGGGGGCACGGGACACGGGGGCACGGGGACACGGGACACGGGGGCACAGGACACGGGGACACGGGGGCATGGGACACGGGGGCACGGGACACGGGGGCACGGGACACGGGGGGCACGGGAGACGGGGGCACGGGAGACGGGGGCACGGGACACGGGGGCACGGGAGACGGGGGCACGGGAGACGGGGGCACGGGACACGGGGGGCACGGGACACGGGGGCACGGGAGACGGGGGCACGGGAGACGGGGCTCGGGACACGGGGGGCACGGGACACGGGGGCACGGGAGACGGGGGCACGGGACACGGGGGCACGGGACACGGGGGCACGGGACACGGGGCACGGGACACGGGGCACGGGACACGGGAGACGGGGGCACGGGACACGGGGGCACGGGACACGGGGGCACGGAGGCACGGGACACGGGGGCACAGGACACGGGGGCACGGGACATGGGGGCACGGAGGCACGGGACACGGGGGGCACGGGACATGGGGGCACGGGACACGGGGGGCACGGGAGACGGGGGCACGGGACACGGGGGCATGGGACACGGGGGGCACGGGAGACGGGGGCACAGGAGACGGGGACACGGGACACGGGAGATGGCACGGGACACGGGGGGCACGGGAGACGGGGGCACGGGAGATGGGGGCACGGGAGACGGGGGCACGGGACACGGGGGGCACGGGAGACGGGGGCACGGGACATGGGACACGGGGGCACGGGACACGGGACACGGGGGCACGGGACACGGGGCACGGGGGCACGGGGGCACGGGACACGGGGGCATGGGACACGGGGGCACGGGACACGGGACACGGGGGCACGGGACACGGGGCACGGGACACGGGGGCACGGGACACGGGACACGGGGGCACGGGGGCACGGGACACGGGGGCATGGGACACGGGGGCACGGGACACGGGACACGGGGGCA